TTAAATCGTGAACCAATTCTTGGTTAATTTTCTTTTTTAATTGGAGAAGATTTTCTTCAATCTTTTCTCTTTCAGCAACTAGATTGTTATACTGTATTTCAATTAATTGCTTAGCCGCAACATTTTCTGTTTCTTCCCTTTTAAAATCGGTAGCAACGATTTGCTGATTCTTACTCTGTAAATCTGCCTGTAATTTCTGAATAGAAATTAAATCGGGATTGCTAATTAGGTTGATAGTGGCGGTTAAAGTTTCCCCTAAATGATGAGGAGGAAGGTTAGCAGTCATTCCGACCGCAATGCCACTAGAACCGTTTAATAGCAAATTGGGTAGGCTAGTTGGCAAAGTAACTGGTTCTTCTTTACCTTTGCTGTCGTCGTAATTGTTTTTTCAGTCCGTGGCCCCATAAGCGATATCCTCTAATAAGTGAAGTGCGTAAGGAGTTAATTTTACCTTAGTATAACGCATGGCTGCCGGGGGATTTTTATCATAACCAAAATTACCCCGTCCATAAACTAATGGATAACGAAGTTTGTCGGACCGCACCATGTTCGTCATGGCGTTGTAAATACCCTGGTCACCGTGAGGGTGCCAATCGGACATAGTTTTACCTACAATATTAGCCGAAGTTGTTTCAGCTTTGTTAGGAGTAATTCCTAGTTGATAGAGAGCAAAAAGTATTCGACGCTGCACAGGTTTTAATCCGTCATGAACATTCGGTAAAGCCCGGTCTTCGACTACGGCATACGCATAGCGAAGAAAGTTAACCAAGGCCAAGTGGCTCATATCAATCTTTTGATCTTCACTAATAATCAAAGTGGCTTCTCGGTAACTCCGTTTCTCCAAGTACTCTTTACGTTTGTCGCTCTTGGTTCCCATCAATCCCCGGATTATTTGTTCGTCTTCCGTTCAATTAGCAATATTTACGTTATACAAACGTCGTCTTTCAGGGTCCATTGTGCTTTCAAATAATTCCGAAGCGTCTATCTGCCCCAAACCTTTAATCCGCTCAATTTTTCGTTCTTCGCGGGGGTGGTCTTTCAAATAGGTTTCTAATTCTTGATCGCTATAAAAATAATGGATCTGCTTTCTAGCTTGGACTCGATAAAGCGGAGGTACCGCCACAAATAGTTTCCCCCCTTCAATTAAATAAGGTAAATGCTTGAAAATAAAAGTTACCAGTAAAATGACAATGTGGGCTCCGTCATCGTCTGGGTCAGCCATCAAAATAATTTTCCGAAAATTGGCTTTACCTAGTAAATTTTTTAGGGTTTCACGAACAATAATGGATACTTGCTCTAAATTGAGCAGAGCATCGGCCGCAATTACTTTTTTTTTGCCTTCTTCTTCGTAAACAAAATCTTCCGGTAAAGTTAATTCTTCATCGAGCACTTTTTTTTCTAATCAGGGACGGAAGCGAACATA